AGAGAGAGATTAAGACCACCAAATTCTATGGTTATCACACATCATCAATAATTTCTTTATTTCTTTGGTCCAAAAAGAAAAAAAAAAATTCTTAAATTTTTTAGGTTATTATTTTACAGAAGAGTCTTTTAAAATAGATGTAAGACTGCTAACATTTTATTTTTTCAAAAGTGACCCTATTTTTATTTTTAGAAGTTCTTTATGTTTTTGTTTGTATTTCTAAATTTCCTTATTCCTTGTTTTACAACACTTGCAATAGTGGAATTATACAAGAATATCAAAATATAAAATTTTAAGATATAATTTAGTAATTATAAATATTTGAGACAAGAGAATAAAAATATTAAGTTCAGTAGAAAATTACGTGTCAAGCTCTTGTGATAGTGTCCCAACCACATTGGATGATTTCTTCATAGAGAATGACAAGCATAAGAGGATAGATGAAGATTGAACATGAATGATACATGTACCATTATATATTTATATGTATATATAATACAAAAAAAAAAAATAGTACCTCTTGTTCTTTGGGTAGCAATATACTCTTCACAACTTCTGCTGTAATCTGCCATCTCTCAGCTATATATCTATCCTGTTTCATCATTCAACCATATCACCAATCACACACACACACATATATATATACAGAATTAACCAAAACCAAATTGAAAATTTCAAACTACAAAAACCTTTTGAAATTGGGTTTGTGTATTCCTCAGAGAGAGAGAGAGAGAGAGAGAGAGAGAGAGAGAGGAAGGCAGTGATGAAATGGGCAGGACAAACACGAACCCTTATATAAGGCCATGATCATATATAAGACTCACGACCCACAAGCCGAATGAGATAAAATTAAAGTGGTCACAATTCACAACCCCATATAGTCAAAAAGACTATAATAATATAACTCACCCAAGAGAGAGAGAGAGAGAGAGAGAGAGAGAGAGAATCTGCCATTACCTTGAAGTGGAGGAAGGAGAGAAGCAAGCAAAGGAGATAAAAAGTGAAGGGAGAGAGAGAAGAGGAGTTAGAGAAAAAGGGTTGAGTAAGAAGGTGAGATAAGAATATATATATATATATATATGTATGATATGATATGTAATATTATGGTAGATTTGGAAACTAAGTGCTAACTAACTTGCAAAGAGTCTATAAGATCTTTTTAAGAAGAGGTTGGTGGGTGAGGGTGAGGTAGGGTGGGAGGTGTTGGAGGAGGAGACGACTAAAATTAAGGTGGGGTTAGGTTGAGTATATAAATATTATATACAAAAATTCATACTACATGATATAACATATTTGTATTAATTTATTGCTACTTTTCTTACAAAAATATGTAGAGGAATTTATTCTTAATTTCTCATAAAATTTTGTTTGTAAATTATTTATATATACATAAAGATTAGGAAAAATTACGTTGATATTCCTGGTATTTTAGTATTTGTATCATTTTGATTTATGTAATTTTAATTGACTCAATTTTAATTTTAAATTTATAATTTTATCTCAATTTAATCAAATTGCTGACAATTGTTAATTTTTTTTTAAATAAAAATATGCATATAAGTAACACATGTCATTATTTTAGAGGCAAAATTATAAATTTGCTTAATTTGGTGAGTTAACCTTAACCAATTCAGTGATTATTTTTTATTAAAAACACTAACGACATTATTAATTGGATAAAATACAAAAAAAAATCTAAAATTAAATATCAAAATTGAACCAATTAAAAATGTAAGAATTAAAATGACACAAGAAATAAAATATAAAAATTATTGATGTAATTTTTCTTAAGAATTATATATATATCTATTTATTATATAAATACACATTACATAAAACACACACTCGATTTAGCAAAATTATGTCACTTAATTTTTTATGTCCAAATTACTCTGATATAATTATTCAAGTTTTGTAATTTTAAATTTTAAATTTTTTTTGTTTTTTCATCCACATGTTACATTACAAACATGGCATATGTATGTTAGGTTTCTAAAATGTACTAATATGAGTTCGATGGTTTAGGGCGTTACGACATCAACATCGGTTAGTTCCAAGCTGATCCAGACCGTACAATCTCGCACGTGCTTGTCACCCGCCGACGCCGTTACCGACACCTCTTTCCCACTTTACACACTTGTGAGTTATGTATTTTAGTTTAACAATAATTCATCCCACTAAAAATATCACCACTAATAGCATTAATACATTAAAAAAGTAAAAAAAAAAAAAAATACAACTCTAAGACCAAAACATTACATCATTAATGACAGGACCACTGTCACCTAATTAGTGGGAGACTAATTAATGCTCCAAGCATTTTTCTTTTAGTTTTGGTTTTAGTTTTAGTTTTGGCTTGTCCGGTTTTTTCTCTTTTTTTTTTTCGATTCAATAGTCCCGGTTTTTCTCTAGCAGGACTCGGATTCCACAGCCTCTGATGTATATGAATTGAATTGTTTATAAATAAATACACCTCGGCACGTTAAGGTTTAGTAACATTTACGTTTTTAATTTTTTTTTTATATTTAAAAAATTTTAAATAATAATTTGTTTTGTAAAAATTTTAATTTATAAATCAGTGGTCTCAGTTTATAAATTTGGCCAAAAAATAAAAAAATAAAAAATTGTTTCCGTTTTGATTTTGAGTTTTTTTTTTTTTTTTTTTTTTTTTTTTACCACCAACACTAGCCACCACCGCCACCATTTTTCACCACCGTCTTCGGCCACCTGCCACCACCACTCACCGCCACCTGCAACCACCAGCCATCACCAGCCACCCCTCGCCACCACCACTACCACACCACCACCATTCACCTGTCACCACCACCACCCGCCACTACCATCCACCGCCCGCCACTACCACCCGCCACTTACTTGCCACCACCACTTACCACCCACCTGCCATCACCATCTACCACCTGCCACCACCAGCCACCCACCACCACCACCAGCTACCTGCTACCCACTCGTCACTCACTGCCACACCCCCGCCACCCACTTGCCACCACACACCCGCCACCACTCGCAACCACCAGCCACCGTTACCCACCCACTCACCACCACCACCACCCCGCCACCATCCACCACTACCCGCATCCGCCACCCACCACCTGCTGCCACCACCGCCACCACCCACTCGCTACTACCCACCACTCGCCACTGTCACCTACCCACCACCATCACCACCACCATACCCGCCATCCGCCACTCACCCGCCGCCGCCACCACCACCACCCACTCGCTAACAACCCACCACCCGCCACCGTCACCCACCCACCCACCCCACCACCACACCACCACCCGCCACCACCACCATCGCCGCCACACCCACCTGCCACCCACCACCCACCGCCACCACCATCACCACCACCACCACCACCACCACCTCGCTACCATCACCACCTCACTCAACCCACCCACCACACCAGCCGATCTTAAGCAACCAACCTATCCCAAACGCAACCATGACAATCCAACTGGTTTTTGTTTATTTTTTGTTTATTTTTTAGAAAAACATAAACTACAAACGCGTTTGGTTTAGAAAAAATGTTTAAAAAATTTTAAAAACATAAAAAGAGTGAGAAATGACAAGTGGTGGGAAGTGGTGGGTGGTGACGAGTGGTGGCGGCGGAAGGAGGTGGTGGAAAATGGTGGCGGGTGGTGGTGGCGGAAGACAGTGGTGGAAAATGGTGGCGGGTGGTGGCTAGTGTTGGGTGGTAAAAAAAAAAAAAAAAAACTCAAAACTCAAAACGGAAACACATTTTTTATTTTTTTATTTTTTGGCCAAATTTATAAACTGAGACCACTGATTTATAAATTAAAATTTTTACAAAACAAATTATTATTTAAAATTTTTATAAATATAAAAAAAAATTAAAAACGTAAATGTTACTAAACCTTAACGTGCCGAGGTGTATTTATTTATAAACAATTCAATTCATATACATCAGAGGCTGTGGAATCCGAGTCCTCTAGAGAAAAACCGGACATTGAATCGAAAAAAAAAAGAGAAAAACCGGACAAGCCAAAACTAAAACTAAAACCAAAACTAAAAGAAAAATGCTTGGAGCATTAATTAGTACTCCCACTAATTAGGTGACAGTGAGTCCTGTCATTAATGATGTAATGTAATGTTTTGGTCTTAGAGTTGTATTTTTTTTTTTTTTACTTTTTTAATGTATTAATGCTATTAGTGATGATATTTTTAGTGGGATGAATTATTGTTGAAACTAAAATACATAACTCACAAGTGTGTAAAGTGGGAAAGAGGTGTCGGTAACGGCGTCGGCGGGTGACAAGCACGTGCGAGATTGTACGGTCTGGATCAGCTGGAACTAACCGATGTTGATGTCGTAACGCCCTAAACCATACGAACTCATATTAGTACATTTTAGAAACCTAACATACATATGCCATGTTTGTATATGTAACATGTGGATGAAAAAAACAAAAAAAATTTAAAATTTAAAATTACAAAACTTGAATAATTATATCAGAGTAATTTGGACATAAAAAATTAAGTGACATAATTTTGCTAAATCGAGTGTGTGTTTTATGTAATGTGTATTTTATATAATAAAATAGATATATATATAATTCTTAAGAAAAATTACATCAATAATTTTTATATTTTATTTCTTGTGTCATTTTAATTCTTACATTTTTAATTGGTTCAATTTTGATATTTAATTTTAGATTTTTTTTGTTGATTTTATCCAATTAATAATGTCGTTAGTGTTTTTAATAAAAAATAATCACTGAATTGGTTAAGGTTAACTCACCAAATTAAGCAAATTTATAATTTTGCCTCTAAAATAATGACATGTGTTACTTATATGCATATTTTTTATTAAAAAAAAATTAACAATTGTCAGCAATTTGATTAAATTGAGATAAAATTATAAATTTAAAATTAAAATTGAGTCAATTAAAATTACATAAATCAAAATGATACAAATACTAAAATACCAGGAATATCAACGTAATTTTTCCTAATCTTTATGTATATATAAATAATTTACAAACAAAATTTTATGAGAAATTAAGAATAAATTCCTCTACATATTTTTGTAAGAAAAGTAGCAATAAATTAATACAAATATGTTATATCATGTAGTATGAATTTTTGTATATAATATTTATATACTCAACCTAACCCCACCTTAATTTTAGTCGTCTCCTCCTCCAACACCTCCCACCCTACCTCACCCTCACCCACCAACCTCTTCTTAAAAAGATCTTATAGACTCTTTGCAAGTTAGTTAGCACTTAGTTTCCAAATCTACCATAATATTACATATCATATCATACATATATATATATATATATATTCTTATCTCACCTTCTTACTCAACCCTTTTTCTCTAACTCCTCTTCTCTCTCTCCCTTCACTTTTTATCTCCTTTGCTTGCTTCTCTCCCTTCCTCCACTTCAAGGTAATGGCAGATTCTCTCTCTCTCTCTCTCTCTCTCTCTCTCTCTCTTGGGTGAGTTATATTATTATAGTCTTTTTGACTATATGGGGTTGTGAATTGTGACCACTTTAATTTTATCTCATTCGGCTTGTGGGTCGTGAGTCTTATATATGATCATGGCCTTATATAAGGGTTCGTGTTTGTCCTGCCCATTTCATCACTGCCTTCTCTCTCTCTCTCTCTCTCTCTCTCTGAGGAATACACAAACCCAATTTCAAAAGGTTTTTGTAGTTTGAAATTTTCAATTTGGTTTTGGTTAATTCTGTATATATATATGTGTGTGTGTGTGATTGGTGATATGGTTGAATGATGAAACAGGATAGATATATAGCTGAGAGATGGCAGATTACAGCAGAAGTTGTGAAGAGTATATTGCTACCCAAGAACAAGAGGTACTATTTTTTTTTTTGGTATTTATATATACATATAAATATATAATGGTACATGTATCATTCATGTTCAATCTTCATCTATCCTCTTATGCTTGTCATTCTCTATGAAGAAATCATCCAATGTGGTTGGGACACTATCACAAGAGCTTGACACGTAATTTTCTACTGAACTTAATATTTTTATTCTCTTGTCTCAAAATATTTATAATTACTAAATTATATCTTAAAAATTTTATATTTTGATATTCTTGTATAATTCCACTATTGCAAGTGTTGTAAAACAAGGAATAAGGAAATTTAGAAATACAAACAAAAACATAAAGAAACTTCTAAAAAATAAAAATAGGGTCACTTTTTGAAAAAATAAAATGTTAGCAGTCTTACATCTATTTTGAAAAGACTCTTCTGTAAAATAATAACCTAAAAAATTTAAGAATTTTTTTTTTTTTTTTCTTTTTGGACCAAGAGAAATAAAGAAATTATTGATGATGTGTGATAACCATAGAATTTGGTGGTCTTACCCAAATCACAGATCAATCTAGGCCATTCAATCCTTGGACCATCCCTTTGATAAGCAATCAAAAAGAAATTCTGATGTTGATAGAGTTGTAGATGAGTGGGTCCACATTGTGGATAAACGGCACTTGAAGGGACAAGTTATTGGTTGGCCATAAGACATTGTCAGGTGTTATTTAAGGGTGTTTTGATTGATAAAAAAAATGTGATTCATAATTTTGTGTTGCCTAATTAAGAAATAATAAGAAATAAGAAATACATTGTGATTGGTGAGGAGTATCGCTATATGACGCTCCAGAGCACCGTTGCACCAAATATTTTTTACTTGATGGAGGATCAAACTGTCCTGATTGCATGACTCACCACACGTGTGAGCTGTCCACTGTACACATGGCAAACATGTGTAATCAAAACTAGTTTTAATTTTGAAGATTTGGGTTGCCAGATTTTGTATTTATTTGGGTTTATTTTGTTTCTTTATTGTTTTGTTCACTTCCTAAATATGGACCCAAAAATCGTGTGATATATTTATATATTAAATATTTTTTTATTTGGGTTAAATTTGTCTTTTTATTTTATTTTATTTTGTGTGTTCTTCACAGTCTAAAGATGAACCAAAATAACAAGTGACATATTTATATAAAACCATTTTTTTTTCTTTCATAATCTCTGATTTTATTTGATTGATGATACTTGCAGGCAGAGTAGATCCACTGGAGGTGCTCCACCCAAAAAAAAAAAAAGTTAATTCTATGTAATTGAAAGTTGCAGACTTACAATCATGAGATGGTGTGCGTTTCATTTGGTTCAATGGAAATGTGAATGAATATAATGTAGATTTTTATAGGGCTCCATGAGGAAAAAGTAATCACGTGTGACACACTCTACCGTAATAGTTTATGTGGTCCCGTTGATCTAAAGTAGTTGTTATGATGACTTTTAATTAGATACAACTAATAAGACACACAAGCTTTGCTAAATTATTCCATTGAGCAGTGTCGGCAGAGTTTTAATTTTTTTCACATGGAAAGTAAATAAATGAAGTTTTAGTACATTCTATGAATTTAAATTTGCAAAACAATTATATATATATATGTAGTGTATTGTACAATTATAGAGAACCAAAATGGTTGTTGGGCTGTCTCAATTGAATAATGTTGGACTTTTCTCAAAGGGAAGTAATTGAAATATTTTTATCAATGCTCTAGTTGTGGCTGGTCTTCAAGCAGCCAATGTGTTTTGGATTTTTGTTCTTCAAGACAAATAATAAAAAAAAAAGTGTGTGGTGCATGTTTAAATTTGTTACAGACAGAATTTGATCATAGAATTAGATACAATTCTTTCATATGAGACGGATCTCACTAAATCTATGAGTCTTGTCTATGTGAAATAGTTGTATTTAGTTTTGATGCACATTTTATTTTTTCTGTTGGTATGTATGTATTATTGATTTTTACCTAAATACTTCTTCTTGGCAAGTAATTGGTCAATATGAGTTAGGCACCACCATGTTTGAATTGGAGTGCAGTCAAAGGCCAACTTACTAATATGACTTTACTTGTTCAGAAAGAAGTTTCAAGATTTGGCTAGGTGTGCTCAAGGGTAGCAAGTAGTGGGTTAGGAGGACAAAAACTGGGTCAAGTTTTATTCATGTTTTGCATCTAATACTACATTCTACACTCTATTTCTTATATGTTTTTTCTTTGACATTTCAAGGGCAAATTACATATACACCCCTCCAGGTTTAACAAAATTACAGATACCCCCCTGAGGTTTGAGAAATTACGAATTCCCCCCTGAATGCTATATTTGCATAAGAAATTAGGGGGTAATTTGTTATGAAATATAAACCTCAGGGGGTAAATTGTTATGAAAATACAAACCTCAGGGGGCGTGATGTAATTTCCGAAACCTCAGGGGGTATCTGTAATTTAACCAAACCTGGAGGGGTGTATATGTAATTTGCCCACATTTTTTCAAAGACCTCTCTATTATGTGTTTGTCCAAATTTTGAGGTTGGATTAGGCCCTGATCAAGTTTGAGCCTAGTCATTGTACGATATTGGTTTTTCTTTTCTTTTCTTTTCTTTTTTTTTCTATAGATTGAAAAAAGTTAAAATAGGGTACTCATTATGAAAGTTACAACAAATTTGATGGTGGGGGGAATAATAAACAGGTGGCATCCAGTGGGAAGAAATATGGAGGACTTGTTCCAAAGAAAAAGCCTTTGATCTCCAAGGCAAGCACTATTTAAGTAACCTATTTTGTGTTGTATGGTTTTGACTTGGTAATTAAATATATTTTGACTAATAAATCAACAATTTCATTGTTATTGTGTGATGGTTGCAGGATCATGAACGTGCCTTCTTTGATTCTGCAGATTGGGCCTTATGCAAGGTATTTATTTACCTCACATATATATGACTAGATGAAAATATGGGTCTTTATTTAACTAAAAGAAAATATATATAAGTTTAGGAGGTTAATTATTGCATTAAAAAAAAAAAAAAAAAAAGTGGGTCTTAAGCTCAAGTGTGCATCGATTTTTTATATTCTAAGACTGCAAGAATGAAAAGAAAAAAAATGAAATTTCATTCCAGTTTTTTTTCGTCGTTTGAATGCATGCAAGACAAAGAATGTGATTTTATGCAACTTTAAACTTGTTTGGTGAAAAAAATATTTTAATTTTTTTAAAATATATTTATATTTATGTTCGTCAAACTAATTTCAATTTGTTAAAAACAAAATTTGAAAACAAAACCAAACAGTGCAGTGATTATTTTCCACCTAGCTAATCTAAACACATAAGTTGCGTTGACACAATAATTTCATTACTAGCAAATGCGATTTCAGCAATGGGATTCTCGCCATTCAAACATAATTTTTAAGTTAAGCGAAATATTTGTTCAACATTGTTGCCTTGCTGTTATTGGTCTCAATTTTCCATTTTTTTGCCAATCCATATTTGGAGCAGCAAGGTGCAGGAGTGAACCAAAAATCAGCAGTTGCTATTGAGACTTTACAGCCAAAGTTACAGGTATATATGATCATTTGATTATTTTACAAATCTTCCTTGTAGGCTTTGTTTGGCAGCGTGGAATTAGAATTGAACACCATCCTAATTTCCATACCATTAGTTCTGTTAAAATACAATGTATAAAAAGAAATAGAGAATTGTATTATTTATTGATATATTGATTGTTTGTTACAAGCTATTATATAGGAGAGGTGTGAGGTAAGTGAGTGGTGGTAGTGGATGGTAGTGGAGGTGGTGGGTGGTAGTGGAGATGGTAAGTGTGTTAGGTTTAGTGGGGTGGATGTAGTGGGTTAGGTTAGTGGGTTAGGTTTAGTGTACATTAACAAGTTCCATGCTGCCAAACATGCTCTAAATGTCTAACTAATTAAACTTGGTAATTTTGCAGAGAACCCCTCATCAACAGCTCCCCCCGAGAAGACCTGCTTGTAATTCTGGACGAGATAGCCTGGTGAGTTCCAACTTTTCAATGTTTTGTTTTTCAAAACATAAAAAATAAAAATTAAAACACCTACCATTTTCATTTTGCTCAAACCATTTTTTTTTCTTTCATAATCTCTGATTTTATTTGATTGATGATACTTGCAGGCAGAGTAGATCCACTGGAGGTGCTCCACCCAAAAAAAAAAAAAGTTAATTCTATGTAATTGAAAGTTGCAGACTTACAATCATGAGATGGTGTGCGTTTCATTTGGTTCAATGATTGGAATGTACAACTATTCTTATGATAAAAACTATTTGAAAAATGCTTAGATTGTCGGTTTGTCTTTACTTATAAATTACATTTGTTTTTTTTTATTTATAAAATTTTATTATAAAACTGAACATAATTCTCTTATAAATAACGAACTTCACCGAATATATCATTTAAGAGAATTTTATCTAATTTTATAATACGATTTTCTAGCCATAATTGCATGAGACATCGGGAATTTTAATTCTATAATTCCGAGTTTGACTTATTTTCACATGCCATTATTGGGGTTGCAAAATGAGCTAGCAATGATTACATGAGGTGCTAAAGGACGTAAATGATGCCCCTATTACTTTCAGATCATAATCATCATATGAAAGAAAATGTGACTCTACATAGAAAAGGAAAAAAGAGAGAATTATACGAAAAAATTAGTCCAACATTTTTTTTCAACTTCTACGGATGATTTGAAATTTGAATTTTTATGAAATATGGGTTAAATTTGAAGTGATGTGATAAATAGATAATGTGACTTAAATACAATAGTAACTTTTTGACTTTTTAATTTTTTTTAATATATGTCAAACAAGACCTTAGTAATGAAAGATATTTATAATTTTTTTTTTTTTTTTTTTTTTTTGCCATTTGAAATGGCGTTTTTTTGTAGTTTAAGATCTCTTACCCACATCCATACACTCTCTCATTCTCTCTTATCTCTCTTTTCGTACCAAACCTTTCGTTTTTCCTCTTTTATGTTATTCTCTTTTCTGCTATGCTCTTCTCTGCTACCCAAAGGAAAGCCTTTGTGGAGGGAGAGGGAGAGGCCAACCGATCGGACGTTAAGCATCTTGAGGACAGCAATTGCGGCAATATCGACGTTGTTGAGAAGAGGGTCTTTGGTGAGTTTGTTGGAGAAATCGGCGACGCCATCGATTTAGGATATGGAGATGTGACCCATGTGGATTTGGGGTCAACTCAAAGGGTGACGAAGTCACCAATTCTGTTGATAGCATAGCTTAAGTAGTCAAAACTAGGGCCGAGGTTAGCAACAATTGCGAGTGCGAAGGACTTGCAAAGGTGAATGTAAGCTCGGGTTCAGTAAAAAATGTTGTAGAAGAAGAAGAAAAGACAGAAGAGAAGTTCTTGCATCTCAAGGTTAATGTTTGGATTGATGATAACATATGGCCATTATTGTGGCGATGATGCTTAGGTAACAACACTAGTCTACATATATCAGTAGACTAGTTCAATTTCTCTGAGTTTTAATTCTCTCTAGTTACATATATAAGTAGAATATAGTTCAATTTTCTCTGGTTACATATAACAATAGACTAGTTTAGTTTTCTTTGTGTTTTAATTTTATCTGGTTTGGTCAAAATGCAGAGAAAATTGGTCAAAACAAAAGAAATTTATGAGCAAATTAGAGAAATTTTAAAGTACAGAAAAAATCAAAAAATTTGAGCAAATCAAAGAAATTTCAAAACACAGAGAAATATTTTTGTGTGTTTTAAAATTTTTCTGGATCAAAATTTATCTGGATCGAAATTTCTCTGGATCGAAATTTTTTGGAAAAATGTTGAGGGACCTCAACTACTATAAAAATATTGCATGTTCTTTATCCTATAAAATCTTAATACTGGGGACCTTAAAAAAAATTCCAAAGTATAATTTAGTGTAGCTTTAACCCCAAAAAAATATACATTTTTTAATTATTTATAAATTTTATAAATATTAATAATTAAAATTTTGAAATTTTTTATGTAATTATTTTTTGAAAATACCATTAAATTATAATTCTTCCAAGAAAAAAAAGTCATTTCATCATGGCCTATTTTGAGAAGTAGATTAAAAGTTGACTTTTTTTTTAAAAACGTAAAAAAATAAAATAATAAAAAATGATATGATTTAAAAAAAAAATTAAAAAGACAAAAAATTAACTTTTAAAGATATTGCCAAAATAGAACTAGTAATTTGTCTTTTTATATAAAATACCACGTCATTTAATGGCGCCCACAAATGTACACCCAAAAAAAAATCAAAATTGCACAAAAAAACAGAAGCAGCATAAAACAAATAAAAAGCCTATTGGGCCTCATGATATATATTTTGGATTAGGATTGTTTTTAGTTCACTTTAATGGATTGGATTGTACAATTCAATTTATAGGGCTCAAGTAGATCTCAATCTAGTAAATGTAGATCATCTACTTGGACATTCAATTTTTCGAGGCCCGTTGAATTATCTTTTTTCAATCTCAACCATTTGTTTGGTATTTATTTATAGGGGACTTACCAACTGATCCCATGGAAATAAGTTAATACCAATCAAGTCCTGTCCTATTTCCATTTCCAATTTTATCCCTCAATATCACACCACACGTGTGAAGCAAAGAAGCCATCACGAGCTCTCTCCTGCGCGCGTGACACATACGCACCTTTTCAAGGGTTCTGTTGCAGACGAACCTGTGAAGATTTGGAAACCATTCTGAGGCGATTTTCGATTTGAAAATCGAAACAAACGAAGAGATTTTCGATGAATCTTCCATCGTTTCCAAAGAAATCGGCAATTGATTTTATACCGATTCTGAACAGATCCCCAACAAATCTTCCACCGTTTCGATCTATATTCCGATTCGGACATCTACTCTCCTTGTTTAGTTCATCTTTAACAAACATGCCAATCAAACGTAATTCATACTCATCTTCCCTTCTTCTTTCATAACTATAATTAATTGATAAAATTCGACTTGAAGCTATTTTCAATGTGTATCATACATTATTAATTTATCAGTGATATTCAACTTCATAATAATCATATCTTCATGTTCATTTGCTATACAATGATGGATTTGTTTACTTTTACTAATTCAGTGATAAAATTTGCTATACAATGACAGATTTGCTTACTATGTCTAATTCAGTGATAAAATTTACAATAAGAATGATAGATTTGCTTAATTTTTTTAATTGAGTGATAACATTTGCTATACAATGACGAATTTCCTTACTTTGCCTAATTCAATGATAAAAATTATTGTAACAATGATAGATTTACTTAATTTGCCTAATTGAATGATAAATTTTGTTATAATGATGGATTTACTTCCCTTCTTCTTTCATAATTATAATTAAGTGATAAAATTTGACTTGAAGCTATTTTCAATGTGCACATACAGTATTAATTTATCAATGATATTCAATTTCATAATAATCATATCTTCATGTTCGTTTGCTATATAATGATAGATTTGCTTATTTTTGCTAATTCAGTGATAAAATTTGCTATACAATGATAGATTTGCTTACTTTGCCTAATTTAGTAATAAAATTTGCTATAACATTGACAAAAGGAACTGACCATGCAACCTATGTCTATTTAAATGATATTGACAAAATATTAAAGGGTGAAGATTTGGCGAGCATTGTAAATTGAATTTGTAACTCATTAAAATAACATTTTAGTTTTTTATTTATATTAATTCCTTATTTTGTTTTTTTGTTTTCAACATAGGTAATAGACGCATATGCAGAACACTTGCTTGCACATAAACAAGGAACAACATCATTCATATTCATTTCAAGTTGCCATGTATGTAATACATAGTATTTGTCATTTTTTTTCAGATATTTATGAATTGTTTAATGAAAAAATTCTTTGTGATCTTCACGGCATCTCACCTATGCTAGGAAATTATTCAAGAAATAAGTTTTATTTGAAGTACTTGATATTATAATACAAGTACTTCAATTTATCACTATAAATTGCATACTTGCCACCTATTTAATTTGAAAAAGTTTAAATTAACTTTATTTTTTTTATTTATATTAGTTAGCACTTGTTGACAACAAAAGATGAGAAAGCAACAAAGAGAATGCTGAACAAGTTGATGCCTGAAACCATGAAAGGAAGATACATTCTCTTCCCAATCCACCAAAATTTTCATTGAACAATACTTGTCCTTGATATTGAAGAAGGTTCATGGAAATTCTACAATTCCATGAGACCAAGGGGTGCAATGCGTAAAGATCCATACTTCAATGCCGCAAATGAAATGGTAAAAATGTTTTCAATATCAAACTTACCATTAATCTAATACATCAATCATGATGCATACTCAATTATACATCAAAAATTTATATAGTGATATATTTTATTATTATTTAAATCTATGGTTTCTCATTAATTGTTTCAACTGACTTTCTAATAGAACAATTATACAAATCTATATGTCGTAGAGAAAGATTATTGGCAAGTACATAAAGGAAGAGAAGCCAACTCTCATCGCCCCTGATAAATTTCAATAGGAGACAGAGAGAGTCATCAACAGCCCACAATAAGAAGAAAATTCGTAAGTTGATTAATAACAAAACACTCTTATAAAAAAAAATGCAATGAAACCAAATTATAATATTTTGTTTTCAAAATGTTTTTGCAGGCTTGATTGTGGAATCATTGTTTACTATATCATGAGGCAATATGTTTCCAGTAACAACATAATGCCTACTTTTTTCAAGGAAGAACGCAATCAATTGAGAGCCAATATATTAACTATCTTCTTGACTGACCAACAAACTGCTCAACAATAAATAGTTGATAAAAACATTAATGACTTGCCTTCACAATAATCAACAAATTTGGAAGAAAAGAAAACATTTTGCTTGTTTGTTTGTTACACTAATCAACAGATCTGAAAGAAAAGAAAAGAAAACATTTTGCTTGTTTGTTTGTTATAGTGTAACAAAAAGGAAACATTGATTCATTTAGTTGTTAGAATGTGAATGCTTCATACATTTGGCTTGTTTGGTTGTTACAGTGTTATCTATATTTTGATCATTTTGGTTTGTACTTTACTTCAATGAATATTACAATACTTGGTTGTTGCAATGTTAAAATTACAGGCAATACACTAAATGAAAATTTAATTTTTTTTAGCTATATTTTTACCAGATCTGGCTTTGATATCAATCTTACTTTATGCTTAATAACAGGTTTGGATCCCTTCATTTACTAACATGACATTTTTTTTTACACTGATAAATTTATCACTGTTCAAACTAACAAAAATCAGCAACTCTCTCTCTCTCTCTCTCTCTCTCTCTCTCTCTCTCTCTCTCTCTTTTTTCCTAATTCAAGTAAACAAAACAACATAAAAAATAATAAACAATTTACCTAAATTGAAAATTGAAACACAAACACTACTACATTGTCCAAATTGAAAATTAAAACACTGTTGCAGTTTGTAGATATTTCCAAGTTTGGGAATGAATGTAAAAACATACCATTATGGGTATATGGAGTGGAGAGAAAGTTCTAACAGTAAATTCAAAAAAACAAACCGTACATACATTTTAACATTTAACTCCAAGAACCAGTTATTTATGAAGAAATATGATCTTATTTAAGACCTAATGATAAACTGTTGCATCTAAAGCATTTCTTAGACTGAAATTTTGAACAATTTAATCTGAAAATGAATTGCAAACTCGAAATATTTTGCTTCAAAGATCCCACTGATAGTTAATTACATAGTGGCAGTAATGCAGCACAGATTGGGAAACTTAGTCTCAAGCTACCTAAAATTAATTTTTCTTGAGTATAAGCCATTGATAAATTTATCACCGTTAAAAAGAACATTTGGTTGGATATGACAATAATAAATTTATTAACCACTGACATAAATGTAATAAACCATCAACTCTTTCCATACAGTCAATTATCAATTTATCATTCTTAAAAATAACAAAATTCAACAACCCCATTAATGCTTGATTGTTTCCTTCAGACAATGGTAAATTTATCACTCTTAAAAAAACATAATCCATCAACTCATTCAAACCAACCAAGGATAAATTTACCACTGTATAAAACGCCAAAAACAGCAACTATATTTAACCAAAATCAAAGAATATAAATCTGTGAAACTTAATCTTGTAAAAATATCAACAAACAATATAATTTTCGTTCAAAAAATTCCTCAATCATCCAATGCAACTACCGAAATGATGTATGTTATCCCAGATAGGCAACCCAAGAGGGGGGGTGAATTGGGTTATTAAAAATTTCACAATATTAAAAATAACACAATATTCAGAATTTTAATAAATAAAAAAAACAGAATAATAATTATCAATATAAAAGTAGAAAAGATAGAGAGAGAAAATCAAACACTGCGATTTATAGTGGTTCGGCACTCCAGGCCTACGTCCACTCCCCGAGGAACTTCCTTGAGAATTTCTTTACTATCAATTGAATAAATACACCACCAAGCTTGTGGATTTGGCACAGGACTTACTCTTATCTATTGATCCTCACTCAACAATAAATGCCTTACCCTTACAAAATCTCTCACAAAAATAAGGAATAAGAATAAGTGGTAATTGAACCCACTTTTACAATAATTCTCTCACAAAGAGTAGATATGAAAGTGTAAGAACAAAAGTTACACTTAAATTTGAAAGTGAAAGGGCATAATACAATACACTCAAAATCTTAGAGCACATAGATTTTTTCTCTTCAAGTTCTTGATTTTTCTCCACACATAACATTTCTATTTATACCCAAAAATATACCCATTGGAGGTAGGACGCTCATTGCTGACGTCATGGATTACATGGGCACGCTCCTTGACAGACAAAAAATAATGTTTGAAAAAAATGATAAAAATAAAACCATCTTTTTTTTTTCTTTTTCTTTTTTTTCAAACATGGAGCTAACGTTTTTTCTTTTGAAGGAAATTTGAACATTATAAATAATATAATACAATTTTCACATCTTTGAATTCAAACCATATTTTTTATTTTTTTCAAACATGGAGCCACCTTTTCTTTTCTTTTTTTTGTAGGCAATGTGAACATTATAGATAATATAATACAATATTCACAACTTTGAATTCTGAATTCAAACAGGCACGATATGGAATGATTTGCTCTATATTTTTATTTTTATTATAGTTATATATATGTCAAGGATGTAAAACCCACCATCAAGTTCATCGTTTTCTTTTTATATTTAAAAACATATATATATAATTTTCTTTTAAACATCACTTGAGTATGTTTCACTTTGCATGCAAAATATAAATCAAATATTTTTTTTTATATACCAACCATTCCATGTGAGTATATTAAATTTTTCAAAAAATGACAACTCACTAATATCAAATTTGTCAAAATATTACAATTAATCAATATTTTTTGAAAATATTTAAAATAATCATTTTTGTCAAAATAATATAATTAATCGATTTGTCAAAAGATGAATAGTAATTAACCCTATTTTTCAAAAAGTGAATAGTAAAGTTTTTGAAAATATTTAAAATAATATTTAACATAGATATTTTAAAAAGATAATATTATTTTATTTAAATAATATTTAACAAATATATATATTTTAAAAAGATAATAATTTGTGTCAAATAATATGTATATTAACTAATATATTTTAGACATCATCAAAATTAAATAATATGATTAACAATGTATCTTTCAAAAAATATTCAAACATTCAATACAAGTAACACCTCTCAACTCTCAACAAAAGTAATTCAATTAAAATCAATATAACTAAAGCAAAGCTTCTTTACATGTCTTCCGATTATGAGTTCACATCTTTCCACACCTACTACATCTAATTCTCTTGATCTCGCCCTTTGAAGATATTCTCTTTGTTCTTGGACGTCCAACTGGTGTTTTACAAAGAGGAGGTAAAACAATGTTATCATCAAGAACTACATTTGGCTTCCACATACTTGAAACTGGATAGATAGAATGCGAATAAGAATCACAATAACTATGAACATGATAGCAATCATCAAGAAAACAGTTCAGATCCTTCTCACTCCTCTTTATAGCACAAAAACCACGTTTGCAAAGAAAAGAATCAATTTTCAACAATCGACAAGAACAAGACCGCTTCCAAATATCAACCAAAACTAAATGATCCAATAAGATTTCATGAATATCATCGCTACATTTCTTAACTATCCATGCCTTTGTATCATTAAATGTTTCTTCTAACTTTTTCTCTGCAAAAAGGCAAACAATACGATTCCACTTATTTCCAACTTCTCTCCTTTTTGAAAATTGCTCCATTAGTTTCACCCATATAGTATCAACAAGATTAGTTGAAAACAAATGGCGTTTATCTCTAATCCATGTATTAAAAGATTCCGCAACATTTGTGCACATTTCACCATACCTTTTGCCTTGAAAATAAGGGTTACACCAACACTCATTAGGCAAATCCTCAAGAAACTTCTGAACACTACAACAACAACGACCCTTAAATTTTTCAAATAGCTCATTAAACAACTCAATAGTAGGAGCATATGCACATCTACTAAAAAGAGTGAGCAAATACTCGTTAGATTCGCGACTCTTCACTGACAAATAAGTCTTCAAATTTGTCTTCAAATGCATTAGACAAAAAAAATGAGAAGAAAATGGAAAGACCTCAGCTAAAGCTTTTAGCAAACCTCCATGCTGATCAGTAACAAACGCAATATCTCTTCCTGGAGTTAAAATAACAAATAACTTTGACAAGAACCAATGTCAATTGTCATAACGTTCACTATCAACAATGGCAAAACATAACAGATATAAACCTACAAACAAAATATATACACATTATTCGTAACAAATAAAAAACATTACAAAACAAAAGTAAAACACAAAGTATATAACATATAGCACCAACCATAAATAACTTTATCACTGTATTACTACAACAATTCAATAGCAATATACAACATATAGAATCAATGCATAATAAATTTATCACTGTATAAATATAAAAATTTAACAAAAGTATACAGCATACAAAAGTATACAACATAAATTTATCACTAATTAATTGACCATACTCAATAATCAACACTCTCCAGTAACAAATATGATAAAATTATCATTGTTTTAATAATAATAATAACAAATAGACACAAAATATACCTTGGTTACTGTCTTTTGTCGTAGCAGCCAATAAACAACCTTTGTGTCTTCTTTTCAAGAAAGTTTCATCAAGCATCAACATAGGCCAACAATACTTGAAACCATGAATACATGCCTCAAAAGCGAAAAACAGGCATTTGAAATGTCTTCCTTTACTATCAATATCAAATTTCATATAAAAAATACTCCCCGGATTACAATCATTAGCGGCATCAACATATCAACGAAGATCGTCAAATGAAGATGAATAGTCATCAAAAACAACATCCCTTGTTTTTTCAACACCCATCCAAGCTGACTGATAAAAAACTTCTGTTCCATATAGTCCTTGAAATCACAAACCACCTCACTAATCGATGTCAAAGCCTTATTACGAACCTCATTTGAAATTAGCCTGCCAATCATACTCGAAGTCATCCTAGTATGTTTAATTGTATGAAAAGAAGATCCACACGTATGAACATCATCAAATTGTTTAATAACAAAAACTTTACTAGAATTTTCCACTATAGCATGCACACTCCATAAACATCCCAAATCAGCCCTTCTCTTACAATGAATAGTGACACGATCCTTATCATTCTTAACAAAATCAAAATCAAAACTGGAATGAATAGAATACTTTGACAATGCATCTCGAAATTCAACAGCTCTTTGAGCAAACCTTTGACCCACTCCTTTTATACAATTAACCCACCGATTGGAGAATAAAGGTTTCCGTTGATTTGAATAAAATGAAGGCAAAAAATCAGTTTTACAAACAACACTACTATTACTACCAGCTTCACCACTACAAAAAAAATGCACTTTTGGCAACTAAAATTTTAGTCGCCAAAAGTAAGGTTTTTAGTCGCTGAAGCCTTTTCCCGACTAAATATTTTGGTCGCTAGATTTGTCGTGGGAAAATGGTCGGGGAAGGTTTTGGCGACTAAAAAAAATTTAGTCGCCAAAAGTCCTATAAATGGCTACTAATGTTTTAATAGGGAAAAGTACAAGGTATTGGCGACTAAATATTTTTTAGTAGCCAAAAGTCATAAATTGGCGACTAAATATTTAGTCGCCAAAAGTTTTCAAATAAAATTAATTTTCATTTTCAGCGACTAAAACTTTTAGTCGCCCAAAGTATCATTTATTATTAGTTACTAAATATTTAGTCGCAAAAAAAAATTAATTTTCATATTTTTTTTTAGCTACTAAACTATTTAGTCGCCTAAAGTCTCATATATTTTTTACTACTAAATTTTTAGTCGCCAAAACATCTTTGGTTTGTTTTTGGCTACTAAATTTTTAGTACCCAACAAGTTTTATTTTATTTTTTTGGCTACTAAACATTTAGTCACCAAAAAATTTATTTAGTGTTATTTTTTTATTATTATTATTAATTTCTGCACAACCTGTATTTATTTCGTGCAACCTGCACCTTGTATATAAACAAAATAATACATTTGTCTATTTCTATTTCACTTTTAACTATCCAAAAAATTGGTCTTGTAACATCAAATTCTATACAAACCAAATATAATCAAACCCAAAATAATAATTCCATACTAACAAATAATCATACAAAAATGATGTCCTCCGTATACAAAAAAGAAATATCCACTAGTAATCTATACCACCAGAAAATAACTTCATCGCTGTTGGATCAACAACTATAGTAATTGGTAGTGGAAAAGCTCGAGTTTGTAAAAGTCTTCCAGTAACAAGGTCCCATACCTACAATACAAAAATAAGTCATTTCGAAAAACAAAAATACTCTTACTAGGAAGATATTATTATGAAACATTTAACATAATTAAGTAACCTTGCATGTGCCATCGAGGGAGCTTGATAAAAAAATTGAACTTGTACCACTTGATGCAGTTAATAGGCCCGTTATAGAGGATGAAAGCTCCAACGAAAAATTTAGTTTTAAAGCCACTGTCCAACAATCTGTCTCGTTTACCAAACTTCCACCAAACAATGTGATTACAAAGTCAGTTATTTATTTTTCCTAAAAAATAAAACTAAACGACATTCAAATACAAACATTAAATTGTTGAAGAAACGAAGATTCACTTTTTTTACCCGATCATAGGCCAAATAATGATCATGCCATCTTCTGAACCAGAAATAAGAAATGAATCATCGCTGGAAAATGTCAAGCAAGTCACTGATTTTTTATGTGCGCACCAAGTTCTAACCAATCTCCCATTTGAAATCTACAAATTACCATGACACTCAATATTTGAAAATAATGACTACAAATAATATATACAAATTAAGCTAATGGCCCACAAAGACAACTATTCAGTAATTTTTTATATTGTGATCAATTTAATGTAAAGCACTGATGAGATTAAAAAAATGATCTTTGCATATGGGGCTACAAAAATATCATTAACACATCATTTTGGATATATTTTCTATTTAAACTGTCTGTTTTTAAAATACCATCTCTCTTTGTTCCTCTTTTCTTTTCACTGAAGGAGTTGAATGTTTCCTCCCAAATACAATAACAAAAAACAGACAACATTCAAAAATTAATTGCTGAACTGCATGACAAATGAAAAAATGTGAGTAGAAGTAATTTCAAAAACATTTATGAGAAAAAAAATTCACCTGTTGTTTTTAAAGCATTCAAATCCATATATGTCAAGGACTCTAATTTGTATCTGAGAATCCTTGCCTTGCCCAACAAACCTATTAATCTTCTCAACAAGCCTAAAAGAAACAAATGTAGAAGCCACACAAGCATACTCATCAAGCAACCACAGCGAATTTTTGAATCAGGAAAAATAAAAAACTACTAACAACACATTAATAACAAGCATACCAATCAAACAGCCTAGCATAAATAGTCTTTGCCAAAGCATCCTGACTTGCAACAACAGCATTACAATCCAAAGCTTTAACAATAATCCCTTCACGAGTTTGAATTGAACGTGTGCACAGAGTAGACAATAATAGATTTACGTCACACCTAAGCAAAAACGCAATCTAGTCAACTGGATTTATCATGAGCCAACAACCTCCAATAAATGGAAAAGCAAAGATTGCATCATCAACAAAGAAACAAACACAAAATGCTCAGCTACTAAGTCAATCAGGTTCAGGCTCAGGCTCAATTAGTTCGCATCACACTAATATTAATATTCTTTTTTATACTATAAATCCCAAGTAAATGAAGCATTTATTATTCAAGCACCCAGGCTCCATAAATACAAGAATAGTCAATTAGATTATCAAAGATATAGTTAAAGATACCGTGATAAATGCAATTTAGTCAACTGAGATTATCAAATGACAACAACACGGGAAGTTGCATCATCAACAAAAAAACCAAACTATAAAAGCTTAACAGCTAACTAAGTCGAGTTCAATTAACTTACATCCAATTAAAAGCTATACATTCATTTTGATACTCCAAGTCCCAATTAAATGATGCATTTCTTATTCAAGCATCCAAGGCTCCACAAAATAAAAGAAGAGTACTTTAGACCAACATAATTTAAGATGTGATAACTCTTAACACCTGATGCATTAACACTTTTGAACACTTTATGCACATAACAGGAGAAGAAAAATAAATCCACATCAATTAAATGTCGATGACTCGATAGTTTTAAGCATAGGACTTGTTTAGAAACTGTACATACTTAGAAACTTTGATTAATTATGGATTCAGTTATTTCTTATTTATTATTACAACTAATTAAGTCATTCTAGTCTTTCTAGAATGCTAAAATACTCTATTAATTAAAAGTTAAAATGTTTTTAAATATTCTATTATGAAAGAGTTGCTAAGTTGTCAAAGTTTCCTATTTAAATATTTTCACTCGAAGTTAAGTACTTAAAACAGCTAATATCCAAGTTAGTCAAACATTTTGTTCCACAACAATAGTGCAGTGTAAGAAAACTAATCCAAGTCTCAACAATGTTCGAAGTTCATCTATGACAGAGGAAAATAAAATAAAGTATAAAATGACAAATAAAATTTCAATAAATTTGATAATATAATAATTTTATTAAAGAAACATAAGAAAAAAGAAGATCAATGTTGCAATAGCAGCATAAACTAGGTTTGATGATGTAACAAACAAGGGGAAATCACATATAATTTATAAAGCATTACCTTTAACTCTGGCAACTCAATAACACATGCACATTCAACTACCACAGCCCTAACACGTTCTAGTTAATAACAATTCCAAGCACATTAGTTGTTGGCTAGAGAATTAAGGAAAGCGTTGAAATACACATACTGAACTGAGAAAGAAAAATCATGAAAAAAGCCCTAGAAGTTACCTAAAAGCCTTATGCCTGCAAATAGTGTCCCCCCTGTCACCACTAAAACATCAATGACCAAAACACGTTCCCCAAGTTGAACAGCCCCAAGGTGCATCTCTAAACAATCAGTACCATACTCGAGCTCATAGTCTTCGGAGATAACTTCCCCTATATATTGCAAAAAATTAACATTTTCACTTTAGATTTTATCAGGAAAAATTTAATTGTAGAAGGCAGGAACTGATAATAGTAACTAAATACTAAATCCAATATAGGTGCCTAACTACTACATCCAATAAGGGCTTGTGTGGACATACCATGGAAGTTGAATTGCGATGTTCAAATGTCTTTAACACAAATGACAACCTAAAAAGCTCTTGCTCTCTCCCATGCATATAAATTCTTTTTGTTTCACTGACTGCTCAACCAACTTGGTTGTACTCTAGGATGTTCTTCGACAACCTCTTAATCATATAAATTATTAAATCATATAACTCACCATCTTAGTCCCACTCGGTTAGTATAAAGCCATGCGGAGAAAAAGGAATACTACTTTCTGATACAGTTTGATCTGAACCAACTGCCAGTGAACATGCACAATTTCATGGTTTGGAAGAAGAATACAATCAATGTGAGGGCAATTTGATAATTATGTAATAGTGGCTCCAATGGAATTGCTATTTCATTTGTCATAACAACTGTAATATTAGCTGAGTGCTGAAACGGAGTTGTCAAATTTTGACATTGATATCTTTGTGTCAAATTTGACACAAATTTTTACAGATTATACTTGACCCCTATCTCTACATAGTCACTTTTTTTAAAAAAATCTTATTTAAGTTATTTTGTCTGATAAGTTGTAAGGAGAATTGTACCAAATAATAATCTAACACTCTTGCATACAAACTCTTCTCCCACAACATGCAATTCTATCTCGCATCTCACATGTGCAGAAATAACAATATTATTTATCAAGCTAACTCTTCCTTCCATGATTTACAACCATGCATGTGGAGAGACAAACATATACTAGCTTGGACAAAGTACAATTATGCAAATTAAATAAAGTGCACAATGATATAGAGATAATAGAACGACAAAACTCAAACTTAAAATCTCGAATCAAAACATTGATACCATGTTAAATC